ATCAAGAAGACATTTCTGTTATATTTTTCATCTATTTTGAGAGGGTAGCAATTACAAATTATTTATATTTTACTCTTATACCTTTTTTGTTTAGTAAATGTTAAATACAACATGTGCATATTTATTTGAAAATTTTGAAATTACTATGCATTGATTTGTTTGGTTTTGGAGTCCTTCACAAAATGTCATCATCATTAAGGTTTTGAGTAATTTCTTCCATTCAAACCAAACACTATTTTCATTAAATGTCTCTTTAATGACAAGGCCAATCTGACATTTTCATTTTGTCATTTGGTAGCTCAATAGTAACGACCACACTTCACGTGCTGTGTTGGAGACGCCTGAGTTCCACCCATTACCGTTTGCTTCCCGACATTTTCGACAGTTCAACTATCGAATTTGATATTTACAAACCGTCGGGTTAGACGTTTGAAATGTCGAACCCTACATTTACAAATTGTTAGGATATACAGTTTTACTGTCAATTTGGACACTTTAAAACGATGAAAACACTTGCTTTGACCTTTTGCTATTGTACAGATTTACGTATTATGCAGTAACATTTTCATGCTATTAAATACCAATTTATTGATTCTGAATTCTTACCGTTGCAATCCCAACATTTCAAGTATGAGTAATCATTTGAGATTCATTGTATTGCATGGGGAAAGTTTATTCATGCGGATGACGAATGGAATACTAGAGGAGTACACATATGAAAGCAATATCTCCTGTTACACGGGAAGTGGACCAAGTTGTTCCGAACGAAATAACGGGTACTTGTATTTTGCCACCTACTGTACGTCGTCTTCTAGGTAGACCACCCATGCAACGTAAGCGAGCTAGATACAAGTGCACTACCCGGCTCAGGAAATGCACTTAATGTAGAAAAGTTGATCATAACTGGACAACATGTTCGAATCTTATTATATCACAAGCTATGTAAGCAAGCGTAATGTATAAAAATTGTTGTCAACTATAATCCCAAAAATGTTCCCCCTATACAGTGTACATTCTGAACTTATCTTATTAACTTCTTGTTCTTATCATATGCCAGCAAAAAATTGGTCTTTTTTTCCATTAGCAAAGTACCGATCATTACGGTTCCATTAACACAAACAGGATGAATATGTTATTTTCATTATAAACTTAGCTGATTATTATAGTTCCATTAGTTTTGACTAATAGTTTGTTGAAATGGAAAATTGATTTTCATGAGATGACAATTCACAAGTAAAACACCAACATTACGTCCCGACAGTTCATATGTCGTTCCCGACAGATGGTTTCTGTAATTCTCGACAGTTGAGAACAATAACGACTTCCAAAAATACACTATTGCGATAATCCATTATGGACATGCTGTTGCTACACGTACGCAGAGGACGTGACCAAAATCATCCCCACATTATGGAAGCAAAATCTTGTATCACTGCAATCTACTAAAAATTGAATTTTCATCCACACCAAATAAATTTTAATTAGCAACATTGTAAATAGTGGACTCAATTAATAGTGTATAATAAATACCATTTTATGTCATATAGTACTAATATGGAGAATAGAGTGAGGAAGACAATTCCTTTCAAAATTGGATTGAAATACTTTAAACAGTTTCATAGTTGAAGTGCTCTTTCAAATTTTTGAATAAATCAGAGAAAATAATTCTCTTTTCACGTATCTTCATTGCTTCTATGCTTATACACTGAATATTTCACAAAAGCGTACGTAAATGTCGTAACATCCGCTCAACCTACGGTGTTCCACATCACATTATTAGCTTCAACTTACATCATCATTACCATTCCATTATCGTTCGTGGATAGGTAAATATATTTTCAACTTCACAAGCAAAATACGGATCCATTTACAACATACTGCATTAGTTGTACCATGGTTGTCATGACTTTAGCACTTTTAATGGCTCATCATCTTAACACTATCATAACTTAAGTAGGAATTCACATTTAATCTGAAAACATAATCAAGTAGTCGCCGTGACCTATGAACTTAGAAAGAGACGCTAGTGCCTTCATTGCAAAACAAATATTAGTGTACATAACCATTCATAGTTTGCAAATTCCGTCTATCCACTGTGAACTAACGCCACATCCTGCACATCCTTAGTGAACCATTACAACATTCTAACTAAGAAATAATAGACCAACTTTAAGCACATGAATAATATTAAAAATTGATACGTGGGTGCAAAGGTACAATTTTACAAACGAAGAATTCAACGGCACATACCGCAAAAAATGGAGTTTAGCCATAACCTATAATGACATAATCCCACTTTTGAATGAACAAAGCCGCATAAAATGTAATCATTGGACGAGAATATTACAAAATAACGGAAAATATAAAGTTTCGTCCATGGGGATCGTGTTTGTGTATATAGGCTCGCAGTTGATCTGTTGCACGCTTTCTCATTGTTCGTTGCTTTCCTCGATAGTGCATGAACCCATTCTTTTGCCTACCCGGCCTTCTTCACAAGTAAGGCCATTTGTCCTACAAGGTATAGCGAGAGAAACATAGATTAGATCATGATGAAGCATAAAAATGTAACACGTAATGAATCGAACTCATGTCTGGACTGATGTGAACTGTTGAGAAAAACTTACGTCAACCATCGGTATGGATAGTTCATCTGTCAATACCGACACTGTATCAAACTTATATTTTCGAACATGAAAATTTAATAAAGTACGTTGCAGTGATTTTTGTTCCAAGAAATATGAAAACAATACCAAACCTTGAAAACATGAACAAAGTAATAATTTCCATAGAAATCCAACTACAAATTATGGTAAAAATTGTATATTTTTAGAGTTTGTATTGAAGGAACGGTAAACCTTACCTTTTAACCAAACCTATAAATTTCACAACACGAAATTTGCAATAAATCAAGCAGAACTGATGGCGAACATAATAAAAAAAAACCCCAAGTTGAAAAGAAGGGGTAGCATAAGATAAGAAAAAATCATTCCTAACACAGAAACTTAACCCTTCGAAAAAACATACGACTGCCAAAATTTTTAGCTTCAAAATTGAACAATGTATAGTGGTACGATATCCATTCCAAAAAATAAATAAATAAATAAATAAAAATTGGAAGACCATTAGAACATGAACAAAGTAACAATTTTTACAAAACGTCTAACCAAAAATTATAGAAAAAATTTAGATTTCTAGACTTTGTGCTTGAAAATGGCTAAAGCTTAGCTTACCTCTCAACCAAACCCATAAACTTTAGGACACGAAACCTGTGAAAAATCAATAAGAATGGATGAAATATAGAGTAAGAAACGAAAAAACATAAGTTGCATAGAAAACTTTGTATAAACAACCAAAATAGAAAAAATGAAGTGAAATACCAAAATAAAATGAAACACAACAATGTATTACCTGTATGACTACGTTAGTATGTAGATTTGTACGTTAATTTGATGATCTGTGGAAGAAATAGAAGAGATAAAATCAATTTGTAGGGTTTCTTTATTCAAAAATGAAAAGCAAGTGGAAAAGAGAGAAGATATGATGATAGTGTTTTTTGAGGATTTGTTATTTCTTCAAGAATAAAATGGAAAAAGGATATTACTTCTTTAGGACTATGATTGGCAGTCATGTCTCATTTAATGAAGGATATATAAGGTATTTAAAGTATTCAAAGGGGGGTAAAAAGGTCCAAAAATGACAATTTTGCAAGCACTTTAAAAAAGTAACAATACAAACCCAAATTTTGACATCCATTGTAGTTTCCACTAAATTATTTTATTGAAAGAATGTATAGTTAAAAATTAGTGTGAAGAATAATGAATTTTGAAAAATAAAGAAATTTATCTTTAATTAACTTAGATGAAAATAGTCTCTTGGCCTGAATAATTTATTATTTCCCTATGTGTTGACCTATATAGATAAGGGTTGATGCTAAAGCAACAGGGCCTTGTAACAGGACTTGGGACAGGGGTCGAGGTGGCACTACCTTGCCCCTTGATATGATATTTTGATCAGATCAAGGGCCCCTGTCACAACACCTGTCCCCAGCCCTATTGCTATAGTAGGGCTCATAGATAAAAGATCATTTTAAACAGATGTCCACTACCATAATGCGGAGTTCACTTTGTGCAAATTTTAATGATGGGACATCATCTAAAGCAGCAACAGGGCTCATAGATAAGAGATCATTTTAAAGAGATGTCCACCAACATAATGCAGAATTCACTTGGTGCAAATTTTAATGATGAGATCATTCTAAAGCGATGTCCCCTGGCATGCACAAACAAATTAAGTCGAGAAGAATTTTTTTGTTTGTTTGATTCCACTTTTTATATAATTAATTAAATCTCCAATAATTTATATATCTAATATATATTTTAAAAATATGTTTTTCCCCCTTTTAACTGACCTTTTCTTCTGTATATCAAATTCATTTTTTCGCAAAATGTCTCGATGGTAGCGAGACTTGAATTCAAAATGTTCACACATTTTGATAAAATGTTAAACTAATTCGTATAAAATCTAAACTATCAGAGGGTGGATAAATGTATTAAAGGGTGTGTCCACAACTCCAAGTTTATTGGATTTTAAGAAATTATAAATATGATGGATTTTTTTTCTACAGAATCTATAAGAATTTTTATAAAATGGTGAAGCTTAATGAGAATATAATGAACTTCATGAATTTGAATAGTTTTTGCATAAATTTATTAAAAATCATGAAATTCATTAAATCCTTTAAAACCCAATAAATTTCAATTGAGGATGCACATGATATTTTAATATTTTGCATTGGGCAAGGTAAAGTTACCGTTATATAAATCACGGTCTCCTCTATCAATATTCCATTCAGCATTGATGGCTATGCTATCAACTCTTTGAAACTTTTAAAACCCCCTAAATTCCAGTTGAGGAAACACTACACATGATATTTTAAAATTTTGCATTATATAAATCATGATCTCCTATATCCATTTTCAACATTGATGGATGCTATCAACTCTTTGAAACATTTCTCTCTCTATATAAATATACGTATATACAATTCTTTCTATATCTCTGAGCTATGGCAGCCACTGCACAGGTTTTAACTTCAATCACAAAAAGGTCAAAGATCAAATTTCTAGCAATTTAAATATTCTTTTGATGATTATTTTCTTTCACTTTTTTCCAATAGCATCAGTAAATTTAATTTCACTTTGAATGCTTTTTTATTTTAGTTTTTGTTATCTTTGATATGTGTAATTGTGTTGAATATTTCGTGAAGCAACTATTCGAAAAAGTAAAATTCTGGTAAGAGCTCACTTGAAAATTCATCCATGCCTAAAACGTCGGAAAGGAGTATGATGTGGTTTGACAAATAAGGCACAAAGCCTAAGCTATAGTTTTAGTCTTTCTTTATTAAATTATGCCATTTTTATTAATTAGAGTCCTTTTTTAATTTAATTTGATAATGAGATGCTGTAATTTCACTTTTATTTAGCAAAGGGCTGTCTCAGTAGCCTTGGACTTATTTTTGCGTGGGAGTTTTTGTTCAATTTATTAAAATTGAGGGGTTCTCCAATTTTCTTAATTGCAATACATAAGAATTAACGATTTGTCGATCTACTCAAATTTTGGTATTCTTCTGCAAATCAATGAGTCTTGACTTCCTAAATTCAACATGTTTTTAGGCCCACTCTTTGTTCTGGGATATTTATTACTTCGAGCTGCACCTAGGAATCGTGTTAAACTATCTCATCTATAGTGATTAAATAGTAAAAAAAAAATGCTTTATTCATAATTTATCGTTAACCAATATATAATTCATTTTTAATTTTGTCAAATGCTAGACATAATCAAATTTTCATAAATAGAAGACCAAAATTTATCTTTTTCATCAAATATTCAAAGGCACGATTTTCTTTAATCAAATACTACTTTAAACTAAGGCTAAATCATTTTGCCTCTATGTTGTATAGGCTAGAAGGAAAAGTTGCCCTTATAACAGGAGAAGCCAGTGGAATTGGAGAATGCACTGCAAAACTCTTCTCTCAGAATGGAGCCAAAGTTGTCATTGCTGATGTCCAAGATGAACTAGGTCTCTCAGTTGTCGAAGCCATTGGCCCTATCAATTCCACCTACGTCCACTACGATGTTACTAATGAAGATGATGTCAAAAATGCCGTGGACAAAACAATTTCAATCTAGGGAAAACCGGACATTATTTTCATCAATGCAGGAATTGTAGCTTAAACAACATTAAGATGTCATTCTTGAGCAATTTTCAAAAATTTAAAGCCACTTTCAAAAAATACTCATTGCTCACCTAAATTTGAATAAAGAACTACTCATTGCTAACTAAACTTTGTAACAAGTAATACAGAAATGATATGGATGATTGATGGATAACTTTGTACAAATTTGGGTGAGTGATAAGTAACTTTTTAAATTTTGATGAGCAAGTAGTTATCTATAGTAAAGTTTAATGAGCAAAAAGTAATATTTTATAATTCGGTGAGTAAATAGTAACCTATAGTGAAGTTCAGTGACCATTGATTATATTAACTCATATTTCAAAACATGAATTTTAGTGTACTTGGAAGTTGTGTTGTGTTTCACAAGAAAAAGTTTCAATCAAGATTATAATGCTTTAAAATTAGAGAAAATTGCAGTCGAGGTACCAAACCTTTCGTTTATTAGCAGACTTTACCCAAACATTTAGTTTGTGCCACCCATGATACCAAACCTTTCAAAAACTCGCAGTGAAAGTCCAAATAGATGGAAACTGTTAATTTGACAGTTAGTTGATCAAAGATTTAACATTAACCATTATTTTGACTAATTTTAAAAGGATAAAATGGTAACTTTACATTTTTCAACAAAAAATAATAATTACAATATATTAATAATTAAATCAAAATACAAAAACACTATTCATCTTCTTCTCCATTTAGAAAAATTAGGTGGAGTTTTTCTATGGTGTAGTCCCCTACCCACCTTCGCGATAGTATTTTTTTTTTACTTAATAGGAGGGTTTACTTCTGATGCTTGATGTTGGTCCGACAAAGCAGGCTGTGCTGCAAGAAGTCCAAATGCTTGTTTTATGTTAGTGCAAAAGTACAAAAGAATGTCCATTAATTAGTTTATTATTTGAATTTCTTTTTGCCATCAATGTCTCTGTTCAATGTACTGTGAATTTTGGCATAGTTGTATTTAATCGAAACTTCTAATATCTCTTTTTGCATTTACGCAGATGATATTCAACAAGAATGATGAATTAGGACTTGTCGTATTTGGAACCAAGGTATTTTCAAGTGTCTGAATTAGTGTGATTCAAGAAGAGGAAGTGCGTG